AACTTTAAGTTGAAAATATTAGCAGAGGCAGAGGCAGTGAAAAACAATCGGGAAATTGCACGCGAGTACGGAATATTCAAGTCAATGGTTCACAAATGGGAAAACCAACAGCATATGCTGTTTAATGGCAAGTTAAAGATGACTGCCAAACATGCATCCATGGGTTGGTACAAACCAAAATACCCAAAACTGGATCAACGCTTAGCAGACTAGTTAAGTGATCAAAGAAGTCAAGGTACGATAAAGAATTGTTTTGTTTTCAATTTGCACTAATTGATCAACAGTTCAGAAGATCAATGTTAACATACAACATGTACACGTAAAATACCTTGTCCTTTAAAACTGTACTGTTCTATTTTTAGCAAGTCTCTCAGTTAATAGCGTAATGTTTGGTTAAAGGTAGAGGAACTGAGCTCCAATCTGGAGTTCAAAGCATCTATAGGGTGGTACAACAGCTGGAAATGTCGCCACACTGTATCTATGAGAGTGAAAACAACTTGGCACAGCGTCTACCAGCAGACATGGAGGAGAAGGTCATCAAATATCATCGGTTTGTGTTAAGGGCCCAGAGACGTCATGACTATAAGTTAAGCCACATCTTAAACATGCGCCTGGAACAGAATTCCTCAAGATTTAATTGAGAAGTCTTTCAAATCCTGTGGAATCGCGAATGCACTAGATGGCTCAGAAGACGATGCAGTTTGGGAGGAAGAGAATGAAGAGACGGAAGATGCAGAGGAGATTATTGACAATGAATTCGAGACTGACAGTGAAGGCGAGGAAGGAGAATAAAACGCACCTGCAGCAGTATTAATAGAACGGTTCTTTCCAGAACCACCAAGTCGAGTGAAGTCAATAACCAATATTTCCAGCCTTCTATCTATTTATCTTGTTTTATACCAGGTTAAAAATAGAAAATAGGACATTCTTGAATTTCGTTGCATGAAAATACTTGGGTATAAGACGCGCCCTGAATCTGAGACAATTCAAAGGTGGTAAGGTAAAATTTCTTTGAAAAAATGCTGCGCCTTATAACCGAAAAAATATGGTATATCCTTACTTACAATGGCTGGAGCCATTTATTACTGAACAAAGAACAAAATCAAATTTTGAAACTGAGAGCATTGATATTTCTGATTCAAATGATGAAGGCAGTGACACAGCCAGAAGTATAAACCCAGATATTGAGGCTGTGAGTAACACCTTTCAGCCACCAGTGAAACCCACACCAACCAAAGTGACTAAAGCCAAGAGGCCTTCCTGGAGGTTCCACAAACAATCCAGCACTGAGTCAAAGAAAACACAAAATGTTGCAGAAGAAGCAGAAATGGCATTAATTCAGTCACTTGGAGCAAGTATTGTCAAGGACTACAGAAGTCAGGAAAAGGAAAAGGATGAAGATGAAACATTTGGTAATTTAATCACATCCCAGCTAAAACACTTGCCCCTAAACAAAAAAAATTCTGGTGAAAATGCAAATTTCCAATTTGATGTATGAACAAATGATGAATTTAATCAGTGGAGGTTCACCATATCAAT